ATTCTAAATAGGGGATTTGAGCATCTACAGAGTACGGATTATGGAGTCCTTGGTGGTGGTGGTGGTATGATCTCAAAACTCAAATCAAGCTCATTGCCACCAAGAGGCCTGGGCTCAGAGTGACCCTACAGAGCAGAATAGAACTGCCTTGTGGGTTTCTGACACTAACTGTGTATGATATTATCGAAAGCCCTGTCTTTTTCCCGTGGAGGGGCTGGTGGTTTTGAACTGCAGACCTTGCAGATTGCAGTCCAATGTATAACTCTTACGCCACTAGGGCTCCTGTTTATTATTATATCCATGGTGAGATAATTTACACATAATATTTAGTTGAAAATAAATTTGAGTTTATGGTCCAAAGGACTCTGACGGTTTATAGGTAGAAATTTCAGACAGTGAAGTCATCATGCAAGAGGGTCAAAGAAGACTGTGAATACTAACCTAACAATTCTCACGGTGCTGTGTCAGGTGTCACTTTCATTTCTTCAAAGTGTACAGCTTCACGGACTCTCTTATATTTCATTTATATTGTGAGCAACTGTTCATTAAGTACATCTTTTATGCCACGCAGTCTTAGTGCTAGGGGTATAGCACTAATGAAATATGACCAAGTCTCTGGCTGTTGGTAGTTTATTTACTGAGAACAATGAGCAAGCCATTAGAGTAAGTATGACGGGTGTGTGTGAGAGAGGTGAGTACCAGGTAATGAATGACATCATGAGCAGTGAGTCACTTAGTTGCTAGGACACCACCTAGATGCTACAGGAGGAGGCTTCAAAAGGCGTGTGGAAGAGTGGAATCAAAAAAGAATGGAATATTTCCATGAACTTTTTGAAGCTTCCTTATATTAGGGCGATCTAGGAATGCACAGAACAATCTCAGAAGACCGGGAAGATGGACATTGCATAAAACAAACTGAAACACAAGTGGCTTTATTTATTTATTTGTGTGTTTTTTTCAGATGTGGTTTTAATCTAGACTTTTTCATTCTCCCATCCGCCAACTCCTAATAAAGCCCTTGAGAGGTACCCAACTCACTGCCCTCGAGTCCATGCCAACTCCTAGTAATGCTATAGGACAGGGTAGAAACTGCCC